TCAAGTGAGCGGTAGTGACCGTAAGTAAAGTGCGTGAATCGTTGTGAATTATAGCGTGTGTATAAGACATATTTATAACCAATCGAAGGCTTAGAATTCCCCTCCCTCACACACACACACATTGTTTTCTCACCCTTTTTAAGGTTGTGACCAAAAATATGCTTTTTAGCGCCTAAAAAATATCATTTTCGATCACCATTTCATCTTACCCCTGCCTTGCGACCTTGTGACCAAAAATATGCTTTTTAGCGCCTAAAACAGGTCGCAAGGCAGGGGTAAGATGAAATGGTGATCGAAAATGATATTTTTTAGACCCAAATACATCTTAGTTAGTAAGCCCGATAAATTACTGTGGAATTATATGGTATTGATGTAGTAATTTATAATTTTTGTTATTTAAAAATGCTAATATAAAACCTGAAAAATTATTTTGTTTTACATCCTCCACGTGAGAAATTCGGCAAGGCTTAGCGAGTACAAATTGCGTAACAATCAAAAGTAGTAGAGATCATTGTTTTCAATATATTTTTTATTTACTGTTCTATGTTTAAGAAAAATCGATGAAATTTAAGAATTTATTTGTAAATAGTAATAATATAATAATATGTATATAACGCATTACACACTTGTCAATGATGCAAAACAGTTTGCAACCCTTCATAACATTCCAGCAGATATTCCTATTGAGCAGCCCAGGAGAAAGAAGAGTGATAATGGTGAACAATCCAGTGAGGAACTATTAATGGGGGAGAAGCGATTCAAAATAAACGTTTTCATAAGGGTACTTGATGAAGTCATTCAACAGCTTTAAAGCCGATTCGATTATGGTAATCTCTCTTTCATGTGAGAGATGTCTTGTTTTACTCCAGCTAACCATCTTAAAGGTTACGATGTGACTGTGATATCAACACATATTCAAGATTTTACGTATTAGAATTTCAAATAGTCCGAAGCCGAGTTAACTGATAATTTCAATTTAGTAGTTAAATTGTACTTTGGATTTAGTATTTAAATATATGCCAATATATTAGTTAATTTACGATATTTGCCAACAAGATTGATGCACATCGTTTTCGTTTTTAACACAAATATGTTTTAATATACACACAACAGTATAATTTACAATAACATTTATTACACATAGTTACTACAAACAATGATTTATAAACAAAAGTTTCACTAAGTTACAAACAATATAAACTCTTCTTTCTTTCCTGAAGAATTTACTGGCTTTCATAGGGTTGCGCCTTCTCTTTGGCCAAGAGGTACGATGAAACTGATGATTGATATATAGTGTATAATGGAAACCTAAGTTTTCAGTTTTGAAGACTGACGTGTGTATGAAGTTATAACCTGGAAAGGACGTTTGTTTGTTTTTCAAAGGCATAACAAGTTAGATAAGTGTAGAAAGAAGAAGTATCATTCAACTATCTGGATAAATATAACTGGGTAAATTTTTCATTGGGATATTCACATGATGAAGATCATTGACATCAAGTGACATAACATACATGTTTAAGAGATGATCATCTGACCTCAAGACATTCTGGCTGAGAACATTAGAAAATATCAAATTTTGATAGGGTAAACATAATTTTAAATATTCGGTGCGACGTTTGCCTTGATGTAAAAGTATAATAGGAAAAATGATTCTACACGCAGTTCCGTTGTAGGATTAGGATGTAAAAATGTTAAAAGCTGTTCGTAGGGTATGTCGTTCCAAAACCAGAAGATGAATATGAAAGGTAGGAAAAATAGAAATACAGGCAGTATGACCATATATGATACAAGTTCGGAAAATGACTCGTATGTGTATAAAAGAAAGGGCGAATTTAAACTAGAAGTTCCTCCTAGACATCGTAAGAAATTGAGAAGTTGAGCGACCTAATGATTTAGAGTTGTAATCTGGACATTCCAAGTTAGATGTGTATCAAAGATGGCGCTTGGACATCTACAGTGTCAGAGAACTGAATGGGAACGTTGTTGATGCTGATATTAAATAACAAAGGGTTGTGATATGGACAAAACTCTCTCTCTTTAGGGCCAAATGGTATTGTTCTTGTTTATGTGGAATTAATAGTAAGATGCCAAGCCAAAAAGGTGTTTACCTCAGCCTGAAAAACATTATTGATAATAAGCATCGTCGGCGTATTGGTATGATTGAACAGGGTACATCAGTTTATGCATAGTAGCAACATAAAGAATATACGAAAGAGGTAATAGAATTGAGCCTAGAGAAATTCTAGCAGAAGGAATGAAGGATCCAGAAAAAGTCCTCTCAAGAAATATAGCTGCACGTCTTCCACCTAGATATGAGTTGATAATTTGGATGTAGGTATAAGTGGTAGATTAAAGCACAGTGTAGACATACTGAAAAGCTCGTTCAAAATATATAAAAAAGCAACATACAAGAAGGCTTGTCAGTGTTAAAATGATTGAAGATAGAGTCCGATAATTTTAGAAATTGATCCATTGTCGATAGCTTTGGACGAAATCCAGCCTGTGTATATGGCAAGAGTTGATTATCAGCATTAAATATCTATCGAGTCATTGAACTAAACTGCTTTTCGAGGTTTTCCGGGGGACATTGGTAAGACTGATAGGACGATGAGAACCAACAAGCGTAAAATAATATAATTTTTTTCAGGAATTGGGGTAAAATTCAGATTGAAGAAAGTATTGCAAACCTCAGTGGAGCATGTGATCCCATCTGGGCCAGGGTCAATGTTGCACTTACTCCTCAGGACCAGCTGGAAAACCTGTATTGCAATGGATGCATTCACATAATTATCATTAAGAACAAGTGATGCACTGGGGGGGGGGGTTAGAAAGTGAATACTCAGACATTTCAACAAAAGAATAACTGAAACACCATTTATATATACTATATAATACTTTAAAAATTACCGTTTAAACGCCGAAAACTATCGAAGCGTTAGAAACCAATAGGATTAACATTTTAACTTCTTTTTTTTTTCAGGCACATTGTGCTACTATATTAATAGCAAAAAAAAAAAAAAATACCCGACGTGTTTTTGGCACAGTTAAAGGTAAAGTCTTTGTTATTAGCTACAGCCGACTAGTTTTGGTAACACATTTACCATCATCGGGGCTAGATGGTAACTGTGTTACCGAAGCTAATCGGCTGTAACTAATAATAAATATTTTACATTTCATTGCGCCAAAAAAAAAACGTCTAGTCGGTTTTGTATTTCTTTTACTATTAATAGGCTTAACATTTTTGTGAGAAATATTCGTTAACTTCGTATGTTTTTTTTTCCACATCTCTCTTAATTTGATCATTGCAGATTCGAAATCAGACGTAAATTAAGAGAAATGTGAAAAACATGAAATAGATTTATGAACAATTATTTTCATTTTGAATCACTTAATGGATCATTAGATCCTGATTTGTATAAAGTGATTGGGGTAAGTGACATTATTTTATAACAGTTATCTTCTCATCACTAAAGTATTGCAAATTAAAATCATTCTTTAATTGGTTTGTGCGGTGTATTTATGCTTTAAAATAAAACCTATTTCATTAGCTTTCAAAAACTGTTTGAATACTACTAAAATAGTTGCCCCCCCCCCACGTGGCACAGCGGTATGTTTGCGTCCTTGCAACGCTAGAAATCGGGTTTCGATACCCGTGATGGGCAGAGAGCAGGGCTATCCATTTGTGCATAAAATTCAAAACAAATTAAAACAGTTTTAACATTAATTCGTCAGACTTTGTATTTAGGATGCTTTCTTCAAAGTAAATTAGTTTAGTTTGTTTATGAATTTAGAAATATTTTACTTTCATAGCGTATCTTTATCTAATTAATTTCTCACACTCAACTGTTTGTTTCGTTTTTGTTCAGCATTGTAAATTTAAGTTATAAAATAGATGTAATTTCTTGAAAAATAACAAAAATATATGACCTAGTGTTCTTGTAGGTGCGAAAGTTTAATAACAGATAGTGTTTGTATATGATTTCTAGAAATGTAGTTTCCTTCCGCTCCCCAGAGGCTCACTGGTAATTCTGAAGGCTTATAACTGTAAAAACCAGGTTTCGATACCCGTGATGGGCACCACGGCACAGATAGCTAATTGTGCTTAATAACAAACAAACAAAAAAGAACAGTTTTTTTTTATTTAAAAAAAACACGTTTCATTGTTCTTTTTTTTACTGAAAAATGACCTCAGATGTCTCTCTCTACGCCTTAACTTTGGCACGTGCATAAAAACAACGAAAATATAATTTACAATGGAAGTTACAGAACTTTAATTTAAAAAATAAAATTATTTATTTTTTATATTTGGTGTTTTAAGTAAATAAAACTGCGTTTTTTTGAATCTTACCATAGAATCTAACACTTATTTTAATATTGATTTTTTTCATAGCATTTATTTAATAGAATAGGACGAGTGAAAGTCTTGTGGTGACAGGATTTTAATTTTTATCCACCCAAACCATTGAAGTTGGAGATTCTATAATTTGATGGTATTACGATAGATAGGGCATGTTGCAATACAACTACAATTCAATACACTTGGGTTTTAGACAGAAATATATATTCGGTTGATTTCCCTGTTTAATTCTTTTTGACACTCGCAAATTCTTCAGGTTAGTAATACTGAAATGTTTTTAAACTGTAGCATTTGTACTAGTTGATTACTACTCTTGCGCTGATACTGACAGTTGACGCTACTAGTACTACCATAATACTATTAATAGCATAAGTTCACAAGTTAGTTATTACACAAATTTATTACAGTACCATTGTATGAGGAGGGCACGAATGGCAGAATAATTTATAAAATGAAAATACGGTACGCCTCGGTACTGTAGACTAGTTACTGCATATGCTTTAGTTGGATCGAGAGTTAGTAATCTTCCTTTTTTTTTTCTTATGATTACAATGGTATCTTAATTTGAAACGATCTATGTATGCTATATAAAATAGAGCCAGTAGAGGTTTTAACTTTTAGTATCGATTTCAGCGTATCACAATTATCATCGAGAACATTAGTTTTTTATTATTTGTTCATTTTTTAAGGAGCTTTGCTTAGATTTGTACATTATTACTAGCAGTGTAACTTTAAATAATACTCTGAACTACTCTTATCTTCTACTTTATAGCTTGTCCATTCACACATAACAGTTTTCTTTGTGTGTATAGAGATGTGCACATACATATTTTTGTCTTTTACGTATACATTTTAAAATTCAGTATTTCATCATTCAATATTTGCATTTGATCTGGACTTGTCTGTGCCAATAGATATGGTGGAAAAAAAGGTAATTATGGCATAACATCAAGGTCATTTTTACCCTTTGAAATAATCATGCTAATTATATATGTATATATTTTAATTTGAGGAATTTTCACACTAAACTTGTGCATATGTAGTGTAAAATAGGCTTAACATGGAAATTTCAGTACTTCATGTATATAACTATACCAACAGTACTTGAACTAGCATGATCTTTTGCATTCAAATCTGATCAGTAACATGCATTTTTTTGTTTTTTTTCCACAAAATGGTGAAAAAATTGCATTGACATTCAGCATCTACTGAATTCTATCTATTTGTTCAAAAACTTAACTAGTTAGATGGTCTGTTAAAACTTTGTAGGTTATACAAATTCTATAAAATATTTGAATGAAAATTACATTACACAAAAGAAAACTGAAATATTAGAAAATTTTTGTTAAAGTTTCAAATTAATATAATTTTTCAAACCTATATACAAAAATTACAGAAAGTATTAAAACAAGAACTTTGTTATAAAATTAAAAAAAAACATTTTTAAGTCTAAAGTTATTAAATGGTATTTTAGAAGTACTGTACTATAAATTATTATACAAGTTGTTTAAAATATTGAGTAAATTTGCATTTCAGATTAGGCTGAAGAATGTATTGAGGTTGTGGAGTATTGTTTTCTCAGTGTATTTAGTCACTATAGAGATGGTTTTATTTTAGACTTAATTTTTAATACTGAATAGGATATAGATAGAAATTTATTGTGGAAATGAATTTGAGTAATCGTGATCATAACATGCTTATTTTAAAACTCATAGGGTTGAAAAAAAGAGATATGTGACCGATTTTAAAAAAGTTGACTTTCAAAAACTTCAGGAAGTTATGGGAGAGAGAATAATTGAGACGTTAATCTAAATCATGATGAATAGCATGTCTTTCTTAAATCTTGTGCCCTCTTGTCTTCAAGCTATAGCACAAAGAAATCAGATGTCCTATTGATATCCAGTATAATCTTGTAAACTTCAATAAGATCATCTCTTTCCCTTCTTTTTTTCAAGAGAAAGTAACTTAGATAACCCTTCCGTCTCTTGAATCATCCACTGAACCCTCTCAGGTAAGTCAATATCCTTTCTTACACAGAGAAACCAAAACTGCATATCTTATTAATAAGTGTAAGTTTCTGTTGTCAGAATTTATTTTTAGAAAAGCATTTGGAAAAGTAGCTTTTAATAAACAATATTAAGTGTGAGCTGAAAACCAACTTATTGCAGTTTTGATAAGGGGTATGATTATTTGTTATTAGAATATTCAGGTATACTACCTCAAGAGTCTTGCGACCATGTAGTCTTGGTATCCGTGATATATGTACTGTAATGATAGGATATCCACTTGTTGGAAATGATACAAAGATGGGTTACAAGAACTATGTCTTTAAAACATTTTACCAGTATGAGAAGATTAAGATTTTGTGAGAAAACAGTTTAGGTTTGAATGATCTTTGTGGTTTATAAGGTCAGTTGTTACACACACACACACACACACACACATATATTTATATATATATACATACATATCAATTGTAAAACAAAAATGCATGTATAATTTTTACACCTTGGTGTGGTACTGATCCATCTTTTTAGAAATTATTCTCGTTGTAACAAAAAGCGTTTTTGATGAACACAAGTGACTTTTCTTTACTAGTAAGATTTTTTGTTTGTTTTTTATACTATTTCTGTAAGACACTGTCATTTCTTTTCTTCGTAATTTTTTATACTTGCATAATTGTCTTGAGGAGTAGTAGTTATTTTCCTCAAAAAAAAAAAGAGCAGTACTGTATAGTATAATATATTCCTTGTCTGATGGAGAATTCATGACAGAGCTTGAAAGGTTGTGGTAAATATATATTCTCTACTTAGCCTGAAATTATAATTTTATTGAAATATTCCACACATAAAATTACATTTAAGTTAGTATTGTACCTTTCACATAGCAAGTTTAAATGTTTTCACTTGGGATAAGTACTATCATCTGGGTATACTGCACATTGTAAAATGAGATTGCAAGTTAACAAAACTGGCCTTTCTTCTAGTTTAGGTGTTGAAAGACTTTGCCTATTGTTATATCAAAATTATTTCAATAACAAAAAAGGTGGGAAAAGTCTAAGGTATGTTAGACTTTGAAAAAATTAGCCATATGGAGCTGATACAAGGAGTAAGGGTGACTTTATATAGATAATTATAAGGTCAGTGCAAGATTTTTCTACTTTATAAACCTTCAGACAAAGCAAATACAGTAATTTAGTTTATTTAAACTTGTGTATAAAACTATATGCTTTAAGTATGTGTACGATATTTCTTTTCTTTTTTCTAGGAGTGTTTTCACATCCTTTATTACCAGCATGGATTCTGCTCTAGGTTTCTTAGCTAGGTTTTCAACACACAATGGTGAACATCTCCAAGAAAATATTCAAAGTCTGGGTGGATCAGAAAATCCTGAAACTTTGTCATGTCATGGACTAAATAGCCAACAACATCCTAAAGCTTTGACAAACAACAGGAAGTCAAGCACTGCTTACAATTCTCGAGATATGACAATTAATAAATCTTCCAGCAAGAGACAGTCAATAGGTGAAGATTTACAGATTGGAATGGAAAGTAATTCAGTGAAAATATATTTCTGCAACTGCTGTGGAAAATCTTATTCAGAAAAAGACAGTGGTTTACACAGTTCTTGTCTTCCAATGGAGATCTACAGTTGCAGTATTTGTGGGGAGAAATTCAATCTGAAGAAGACTTTGCTGGACCACTGTTTCTCTTTGCATGGTATCATACAATCTTTCATCTGTAATTTTTGTGGAAAATGTTTCTCTTCAAAAGAAAGTTTTCAAAACCACCAAACAATTCATTCAGGTGATAAGCCATATCCCTGTGAAGTCTGTTTCCAAAAATTTTCAGAAAAGAGGTTTTTACTTTATCACTTACGCAGCCATTACAGTGAAAAACCATACCGCTGCCAATATTGTGGTAAGAGCTACACATTAAAAGGAAACCTACAAATACACTTGCAAGATCATGAGGGTGTTAAACCTTTTTCTTGTAAGGTGTGTAATAAGAATTTCACACAGAAAGTGGTGCTGGACCATCATATGAGTGTTCACACTGGCAAGCGACCTTACCCTTGCCAGGTCTGTGACAAAACTTTCAGTCAGAAAGGCAACCTCAAGACCCACATGCTTATTCACACAGGAGAGAGACGATTTTCTTGTCCTCAGTGTGGCAGGTTCTTTACCCAGAAAGGTAACATGAAAACTCATCTTAAACTACACTTACAACACCCATCGATCCAAAAACCCTACTATTGCATCATTTGCAGGAAGTCTTATGTTTCAGAAGCTAGTTTGCAGTGTCACATGGTTTGTCACCAGAAACTGATTCCTTTTGTTCCTCAGAATGTTGCAACAGCAAGTACATCAGAACACAATTAACTCAGTTAATGTAAATTTCGTGATTTTTTTCTGTAGAAGAAACTAATTAAAATTTGTGTGTGTGTGTGAACATGTTAAGTCTACAGAGACATTTGCAGAGTAATACAAATGTAAAGATGTTGAGTTTTAAAATAGTAATAATACTTATTGATCTTGCATATTATCAGCAAATGAAGTGTGAGGCCTGGTTCTTAAAGGCTTTTATTATCACTTAGTGAAAGAAGTACAATTATATAAGTGCATCAACTACATGCTAGAACAGAAAAAGTTTTATGCACACGTGCACTTTTGATTGGTATGCACATATCTGAACTTTCTTTTCAGAACTCATACTTGAACAGATTAAGAAGTATCTTCACTTTCCAACAAAATATAATACAGATAATTAAAAAAAATTGTTCATGTGAGAATTATTCTTGGAAATTATAGTTTTAGGGAAAAAATGCTTAAATTAAAATTTCAGGGGGAGTAAGTTTTATACCCTATTTGTATGGTGACCAACCATCACTGTTCCATGTCCTCTGCCTAACATTAAATTAGCAAAAACTTTTTTTTTCTGATGCAGCTCAGCTTGAATAATTACTGTGTGAATTTGTGAAATATTACCATCCACTGTATACAGTGTAATTAAGTATTGTATAAAGGTTTTCTTCAAGTCAAGTAGGAATAATTTGAAAAAGAAAAACAACAAACTACCAAATAAATGGATAGGTAAACATGATCAGTGTACTGAAAACAGTGCTAAAATACACCTTTTAACATCCAGTTATCAGAAAACATCACAATCAGTGTTCCAAAGCTCAGATTTTCCTCAACCCCTGTTTTGTTCATGAGTTGCATGAAAGTATACTGCTCAAAGTAATTAAGGGATGATCAAAGATTTCAATATTTTAGCTATAAGAAGACACAACTATTGCTAATGTTGGGCACATGAGTTCATTTTCATGGAAAACAAATGTCAGGTGGCTGGTGATCTGATTCACATTTCAGTTGTATATAAAAGTGAAGGATATATAGGTGTTCTCAGGTAGCAGTCTGTGCAACAGCAAAGTGTATAAAAAGATGTGAATCACTAGTATCACAAAAGCATTTGTACATTTGTGTGATGTTGAGGACAATAGGCTGGCCAGAAGCTGATTAAACACGTTCTGAAAGAATGGCTACAAGTCTTACAAAGGCATTTGTACATTTCTGTGATGTTGAGGACAATAGGTTGGCCAGAAGCTGATTAAACACATTCTGAAAGAATGGCTACAAGTCTTACAAAGGCAGTTGTACATTTCTGTGATGTTGAGGAAAATAGGTTGGCCAGAAACTGATTAAACATGTTCTGAAAGAATGGCCACAAGTCTTACAAAGGCATTTGTAAATTTCTGTGATGTTGAGGACAATAGGTTGGCCAGAAGCTGATTAAACACATTCTGAAAGAATGGCTACAAGTCTTACAATGGCATTTGTACATTTCTGTGAAGTTGAGGACAGTTGGTTGGCCAGAAACTGATTAAACACGTTCTGAAAGAATGGCTACAAGTCTTACAATGGCGTTTGTACATTTCTGTGAAGTTGAGGACAGTTGGTTGGCCAGAAACTGATTAAACATGACATATCCTCGCAGAATGGCTAGAAATCTCAAAAATGTGGTTAGCAGGATGTGGACTCAATTGTAGAACATTGATACAGTTAGTTGGAGTTGACCATTGCCATAAACTCCACAAATGACTGTTGTTGGACAATATGGACTCGTATCAACCCGCAGGCCTCAGATTTCTCACTAAATCAACAGCAAGTGAATGATAAATCTGATGCAAATGGTCAAAAAACAAGTATCATAAGGGTTGGACTTTATGTCAGTTAACAAGTAGCATGATAACTCAGACTCACTGTCACAAAATTGCCCATCTTCAATAGTGTCAAGGACACATGGATGGAATGCTTATAGATGAATCGTGCTTCACAATGCAGCTAGATATGAGGCATTTGCAACAAGCCATGCATCTGTATGTTAAACTGTTTTCTCAGTATGATTTTTCAAAACTGTTTCCAAAATTTCTGGACATCTTGTATATGTTGTAAGCAAAAGTTACCATAATAACTAGAATGGCAGGGTTGGATTTCTAGTGCAAGGTTAGTGTGTATTTCATATATCAGAATATCAGGTTTGAGATCATATGTGAATGGAAGCTAGAATGGTTTTAACCCCGAAAGCACAAGTGTGATGCGTTTCAAAAAACATAACTGGAGAAAAGGTGTTTTCACATTATTCCCTATTGTACTGTACTTTATTTGTAGATATGATGATAATATGTAATTGATCTGTAATATTTTACAGTGTACTATGTTTTTGGGTGTTAAGAGGTTTGAATTTCGTGCAAAGCTACACGAGGGCTATCTCCACTAGCCGTCCCTAATTTAGCAGTGAAAGACCAGAGGGGAGGCAGCTAGTCATCACCATCCACCACCAACTCTTGGGCTACTCTTTTACCAACGAATAGTGGGACTGACCATCACATTATAATGCCCCCACGGCTGAAAGGATGAGCATGTTTAGTGTGACATGGATTCAAACCCGCGACTCGCAGGTTGCGAGACGAGCACCCTAACCACCTGGTCATGCCGGCCCGTATTGAGTGTTAAGCTTTTTCAGGAAATGCAGTAGAAAAGTTCCTGCAAGATGACACAGTAAACTGAAAATGTATACATGAAGACGTACTTGTTAGTGCATCAGGACTGCAAGACATACGAGTGTCTGATGTGTATCATATAGACTAATGTATAAATGTGTCAAGTGAAGTGTTATTACTCATGTGAGCTTTAATTTAATATTCAAGTGTAGTGTCTTGAAATTTATTTATTTATACATAGTATGTTAAAGGTGCATATTATTATAAATTATGATAGCAGTAGTTAATTGTAGGGTGTCATGTGAATTAAAATTAAGACTGTTAGACATGTTTAGGTTATCAAATGTAAAAGTTTAATGAATTCTGATAAATATTATGTATGTTTCAGCAAGTGTTGAATTGTTTTGTTAAATATGTTTAAAATACTGATACAACATTGATAAATTGTAAGTTGGAATTTTTTAGTAAGCTGAAGATACTAATTAAATTATTTTCATGTATACTGATTTAAGATACCATTTTCACAGTGAATCATTTGAAATAACAAATTCCCAATACATTCTGTTTAGAAGAAGAAAAGTGTATTTATATTTATTTAAAAGAACTTGCATGTTCCAGAAAACTTACTGAAGGTTTCTATCATCTAATGAATATAAGCTTTTTCGTTATTATATCAGATTGAAATATTGAAAAAAGATAACTTAATCTGTAAAGTTTGGACAAACTTCTTTTGCAAACTGATTAAAATACCAATGGCCAGACAGCACAAATTTTTACTTTTTTTGACTAGTCACAGATAACCAGTTCTCAGTGTTGAACGTTCAAACATAACTAGAATACTTAAACGTACCAAAATGTCACCGAGAGATTTTATTTGAGGAAAGTCATCTTATAGTTATAAAGAAATCTTTAAGAAAAGCTTATTTCAAGTTCTTGATTTATGGAAAAAAATCATAATGTTTTTATTAGTACGTCTTTAATGTTTTTTGTAGACCAGCTTCAACAACAACAACAAAATATATATATATATATATATATATATATATATATAATAAATAATAGTATTAGT